AAACAATCCAACCATTAGAAATGGAGACGAGCGTAAGTTTGTACTGATGACAAAAAAACTAACCATTTCAGGCACATAATCAATTGATCCTTTGACCTTCATGCTCATGATTTTAAATTTGAGTCCAGTTTTTTCTGGCTTTTCATTATTCTGTGGAGGCTCTACAAACTTGAACACTAGCAGATAAATACTGATTAGTGAGATTACTTGGCATTCTAAACAATTTTATGCTCCACATAAGGGAAAGAACACGAAGAAATGAAACATAAATTATTACCAATCGCTACTATACTCTCGCCAGGTGTTAGTACGCCCCCTGGAGGGCGCATGAAACAGCTCTTGGGTGCATTTGTTTGAAACTATGTATACACAATAAGTTGAACAAGAACATTAAGTATTATCAGAATAGACGGTTACAAAATCAGAGATAAAAAATTGAAAATTCTTGCATTTATTCAGAATTACATATGAACTACTCTTGCAACAAAGTAATATTCAACACAATAGACAGTTCACAGTTGATTGGAAGGCTCGATGAAATTGCCTCTGTAACATCAATAAGCAAAACGAAAGCATAGCAAAAGAGGTGCATATTTTTTATCTGAGTGTACATTACCTTGAAAGCTACATTGGATTTGCTGGTGTTTTTAATCCTGATGGCACTCTTAGCCTGCTTGCCCGGTTCATCTACACGGGACAACAGACAATTGAAGGAACAAATGGAATAACACAAAGAATGACTCTGTCAAGCAATCATATAGATTTGTACAAGGACAAAACTTCAGAATTGCTATTCTGTGATGTTTTTCAACCTAAAATAGAATTGTATCTCGGTAAACAAAAGAACAAGACTTGTTTTAAATGATTATGCTGATAGTTGATATTAAAAAACATCTAAAATACTGTATCTACATTTTGTCATACAAGTATTATTAGTAAACAAAGGAACGATACATAATTAGGAAGATACAAAACTACTAAAAACAAGTGATTATCAATATCCAAAAACAAAATTCAAATTTTGGAACAATGAATTCAATCCCACCTAGTGGATAGCAATTGAAAACAGGATACAGGAATTTGATGACAAGCAAAGCAATTATATATTGATTGCAGCGCATGAAAACAGACACGGAAAAAGATGCATACAAGGGAAGTAGAGCTTGTTGGAAGGATCGAGCTTGAGACGACGTCGTGTGGGGAGGAGCGATCTGGCGAGGGAAGAAACGGAATTGGAGGTTGAAGCAGTTGAATGGCGAAAGGGAAGCTTCAAAAAATTCCACACTTTTCCTTCTGATTGTGATTGTGATTCTTGTCTTTCTTCACCAATCCCCATGCCTTCCGACTTAACTTCCAAACCAAAAGCATTCACATTATAATCACCATCTTCCTCTGCAACAATATAGTAAACGTCGTCGTTGACCCTCTCCCTAAATCCATAGACCAAAACACAAACATTTTACTTTATCATTTTAAATATTTCTTTTATGTTCAATATTAGGATACGAAATCTGTAAATTAAGATTTTTTATACGAGATGTTAGACTCGTCATGCCAAGTGCGAGCAGATTATGTAGACGAATTGTTTTTTTAATGTTGGGTTAGAAAATGTTGTAGAATTTTTCTAGAAGAACTTATAATATGATTTTAAAAAACTTCATCATTGAGATTCTGGCGAACATAAACAAGAAAAATCAAAAGACATGTAAAAATTTAAGCTTTTTTAAAATTACTTCATAGTATCGTTTCTTTACGGTGTATATATGTGTTGCATGTAGGGTTTGTTTGTCCTCGTAAAAGACAAAGGTTTTGGTTTCCGAGAGTGGAGGGTCCCACGATTGCGGTGTTCATGGTGGAAAAGCCAACTAATTCTAACAACGCAACTCTGTTCTTAATCCATGCTACCCACTTCCTCCTTTTGATTCCCCAATTTTTTCTTTCTTCTTTT